GTGCTGAGACAGACATTCACCACAGAATAATTATGCGATGGATGATTGCACACAGTACATGAAGACTCCCATCACATGGAGACCATTTCCAGCTTCTGTTTTATAAGGAATGTAACATGTAGACAAGGGACGCGGGTGGCGCTGTGGGTTAAACCACAGAGCCTAGGACTTCCCAATCAGAAGGTCGGCGGTTCGAATCCCCGCAACGGGGTGAGCTCCCGTTGCTCGGTCCCTGCACCTGCCAACCTAGCAGTTTGAAAGCACGTCAAAGTGCAAGTAGATAAATAGGTACCTCTCCAGCAGGAAGGTAAACGGCGTTTCCGTGTGCTGCTCTGGTTCTCCAGAAGTGGGTCAGTCATGCTGGCCACATGACCTGGAAGCTGTACGCCGGCTCTCTCGGCCAATAAAGCGAGATGAGCGCTGCAACCCCAGAGTCGGTCACGACTGGACCTAATGGTCAGGGGTCCCTTTACCTTTTACCTTTAACATGTAGACAGTCTCACCCCAAAATCCTGCATGTGTGACCTCATGGGGGAAAGTATAAGCTGCAGACTTGCTTATGCCGAGGCTGCACCTGGCCTTCAAATGCGAAGCCCAGTGGTTTTAAATGAATAACCCCACCCTGTTATAACAAACATTCGATTCAACATAGCGAGGACTTGCACCATTCCGTTAAAAGTACATATTTAAAAATCTCCTTTTTTGCAACAAATTTCAAGCAAACAAAACATTTTTTTTTAAAAGTATTCAGAGATTTGGATCCTGATTATGCAAACTCCAGACACGGTACTCCTGAAGCTCTTGTACTAAGAAATAGGGAAAGGTTTGCAGGGAAATTGCTGCATTTCACACTCACAGCAGTGCAGTTGTGTCCTTGCATTATAGTAGATCCACATGTGGAAACATTCCCATCTGTGGGTCGGACTTCCTGAGATGAATGGCAGCTTCTCAAAATATGGCCTTTACATTTTATATCCTGTCTATATGTCAAGGTCTTAATTTACTCAGGAATATTCTCTTGGAAGATGTTCCCAAAAAATCATATCCAGCAGAATCTTGCTGTGGCTTGTGGGCATACTATTATGTTGCAGAAGTACTCATGCCTGCACATAGACCTACATTTGCATAAGCTCAGAATATAAACAGGGATCTGAGTCATAGGATTAATGTTATGACACACAGGCATTTTCTAATGCCTTCACGCATGGAGTAATTAGCTGAAAGTCAAATTCGACCAGACTAGCAGTTCTGTGCTGTTAGTGATTGCTTTCATACAAATGAGAACCGCTGAACCACTGAACTGTGTGCAGCTGCCTTATGAAAATGTATATATAATAAAAAGGGTTAGCTAGTAAGCCTAATTGTTTAATTCTGCATGGTAAATCTGGTATGCAAGTATGCATTTCTGGCCCAACTAATATTACCAGTGGCCTTCAGAACACATTGAATTGGGCGGGGCGGGGGGGGGAGGGGAAGCGGGTGGAATGCAAAACTAAACCTTCCATATTGATTAATTGATTGATTGATTGTAACTGTTATATATTTAACTCACTCTGTCCATTCTTTACTTTCACACCTGATCAGAAGTTACTCGAAACAATCATGTGGGGCAGGGGAAGAAAAATGAGCTTGGGGGTGTGAACAGGGTGCTTGGAGATATATGGGCTACCACTTGCCAGTTTGACCCTTGCCTTTTAATTAGTTTGTTTATAAAAAAAAATACTTATATGCCAAATTTAATTTTAAAAATCAGTTTTCAACTGTTATACAGACTGTTGTAAATAAAACCACATAATCCCCTCACAAATTAAAATCACAAATTACTAGCTAGCTATTCCAAAAAAATATTGTTCCTAATTGTCTGCATAAGCCTGGCAGCATAACAAAGTTTTCAGCAGACATTTAAAAGTTAATGCAGAAGGTGCCTGCCGAATATCTACTGGAAGAGCTTTCCACAGGACTGGGATGATAACACAAAGACTTGGTTTCATGTCGACATCAGATGAGCCTCCCCAACTCAGGACACAATCAACAGTGATCTCAGCAACAGAGCTGGGATATAAACTCTAGTGATCACCAGTGGATCTCCACAGATTCTAGAATTCTCAAACCATCACTACTTCTAATTCTTCTTTGCAATAATTCAGTGTCAGCTTATTTGTTTTCATTCAATTTTCCATGACCACCAAATCTCATTTTATGCTCTAAGACTGGTGTTCCTGGATGTGAAGAATACAGAGGTGAGTGTCAACAGAATGCTGCTAACATTGTACTCCAAAACTTCAGGCTCTCTCTAGTTTCATACAGATGTTAAAAATGGCTGGGATAAAACCATTTAAGTGAAGATAGTTGCAGAGAACTAAAAATAACAGTTGGCCGGTGGCTATTTCAGAAACTGTCCTGTCAGAGAGAAGAGGAACCACTTAAAAGCAGTCCCCTAACTCTTGGCAGGTCGATCAGGTACTCAAGTGGAATGCCATGGTCTTCTAGATCAAAAGCTGTTGGCAGGTCCAGTAAAATCAAAAAGATTTTACAACTTCTCAACCTCCAGGCACCACTCATTCACCATGGCAAATAAAGCAATCTCAGTCTGAGGGCCAAACCAGAAACCAGACTAAAGCGTATCAAAAAAATGTCTACCACCCAAAGTTGCTTAGAGTTGCAAAATAAACTACAAGTTCAATCATGTTTCCCCCAAAAAGGTGAACTAAGAAACCAATCAAAAATTTGAGGATTCGCCACCAGCCAATAACCCATTTTCAAGGTGGTTATGATGAGAACTCCCACTCTGATAGGCTTATGCTTAAATTTTCTTAGACAAAGAGGAGATTGTCTTGAAACACCACGCTTACGAACTGAAAGCCCTTCTCTTGAAGGCATTTTCAAGTGTCCACAAATCTGCTCAACAAATCACCGGGGACAAATGCTTCTAATCTTCTGAAGAAGAGAACCCAGCAGCACATATCCCCTCCTTGGAGTATTCTTACCCTATTCTAACAACACGAGAAACATCTCCCCACCCTCAAATCTCTTCCAAACTCTAGGGCAAAAGCAGATGACTTGGGAGACAAACGGGGGTTTATTTCTAAGGTTTGAACAAGAGAACATCTTGTTGATGTTCGCTAAAGTCCAATACAAATGAGATAAATCCTCACCTCCCTCTTCCAAGTCTTATGCACTTGCCAGTGGAACTGGATGAGGGGAGAAAGTTGGTGGTGGGAACAGGAGCTGACTAGGAAGCCAAAGCCTTGGCCTTTTAATCTATGGCTTTGAATTTGTTCTGCCTTTGTTGTGTGTTGCTTTGAGCTGTGGCACTTAAAATAAATGCCAAGACTGAGCCCTGGTGCACCCTAGCACAAAGAACCTCCTGCCCTTTTCAGACAGAACAAACAGCTCCAATGAGCAAGTGGATACCAGTAATATCTCACATCAGAGGGAAAAGGGAACTGAAATTGGATCTAAGGAAATTTGACAAGAGGCAGGGCAAGCTTTTGTATGAAAATCAAAACAAAATGGGCAGGGCAGGGCAAACAGTATCAATGTAATATAATAAAATTTGTTGACAAGCTGGAATGCTTGCAGAGGAGGGCAACGAAGATGATCAAGGGTCTGGAAAGTAAGCCTTATGAGAAGCGCTTGAAGGAGCTGGGTATGTTTAGCCTGGGAAAGAGGAAACAGAGGAGATATGATAGCCATCTTCAAATAAGCTGTCACAAGGAGGAGGGAGCATGCTTGTTTTCTCCTGCTCTGGAGCGTAGGACTCAAACCAATAGCTTCAAATTGCAAGAAAGGAAATTCCAACTAAACATTCGGAAAATTTTTCTGACAGTAAGAGCTGTTCAGCAGTGGAACAGACTCCCACGAGACGTGGTGGACTCTCCTTCCTTGGAGGTTTTTAAACAGAGGTTGGATGGCCACCTGTCATGGATGAATCAGTGTGTTTTTACATAAGTAGAATGTGTCCTTTTATTTAAAATGCATCTCTGGGTTATTTGGGGGGGGCATAGGAATTCGTTCATTTTTTCCCCAAAATCTAGTTCGGCCCACCACAAGGTCTGAGGGACAGTGGACCGGCCCCCTGCTGAAAAAGTTTGCTGATCCCTGATCTAGGTGGATGGGCCAGTGCATCAAAACAGACTTTCAGTGAAATCAGGTTCTGTTGCCACGGATACCGCTCCACACCTCTTTTGTCTCTAAGGTGGTAACTGGGTGGGTCATGGGGGAGACACAAGTAAACTTCAGTTGGCAAGCCTTCAGCTTAATGACATGAATTCCTCCTGGGCCTGATGCAGTTCCCAGCTCATTCTGAAGTCTATATGTCACCTGATCACTTGTTTACATTCTTTTGTAGATCAGTAGAAGAAAGCTATCCTCTGGCTCCTCGTCTTTCGGGCTATTTTCATTTCCAACACTCTTGACTGTGACAGTGATGGGCAATAATAATAATAATAATAATAATAATAATAATAATAATAATAATAATTTGTAGCCCACCCGTCTGCCGGGGTTGCCCCAGCTACACGATGCAAAAGCAGCTGTGAGCGCAGCAGAACTAGGGAACACAAATCTACTGCCAGCCTGGGCCGAGGCTCCTTCCCTCCTCCGTCGCCCAGAAGCCGCCCTCGCTGTTTTCTCCCTGCCCTTCCCTGGAGGCCGAGATTTGTGGGAAGCTGGCTGAGATTTCCGGGAAATCCCTGCCAAGCAGCAGCCAGGCTGGCACTGACCTCACCGCTTTCCTAAAGGCTTTTCGGCCAGGCAGGACAGGTCCCCCCCAGCTGCCTCCCAGAGCGGACTTTTGCCCGTTTTGCCGCCCGGGAAACAAACAAGGCCCCTCAGGGCGCACGGCGTCTGAAACGCCAGCTCCCCGTCTCCTGCTGCATCGCCTGCCTTCTTCTTCTCCCTCGGACTCGCGGCAAGCGCGCTCAATAGCCCGCGGCTACTGCAAAGCCGTTCCGCGCGCGCGCGCACTCCCTCTCCCTTTACCCCGGGGCGTTCCTTACTTGCTCGGGCGGCGTCGCGTCGCCGTTCTCCGCGGTCAGCCCATTCATCTCGTGGGTGTCCGTGGGGGAGCCCATGTCGCCGCCGCCGCCGCTGCTGCTGTGGGAGCTGCCTTCTCCGCCTTTCTTCCTGGCCAGCCGGGAATGGGAGCCTTGCTAGGCCCGGGAGCTCCGCTCGCGCTGTGGGCTACGGGCACTTTGGAGAGCGCGAGGAGGGAGGGAGCGAGAAAGCGGAGCGCCGGGTTTCCTTCCCGCCTCGCAGCCTTGCAGGGGGGGAAGCCCCGTCCCGCCTCCGAGGGCCGGGCGCTGCTATAGATGGGGAGCGGTCCGCGGTACTTCCCTTTTGCCTGCTGGGGCGGCGCCGGCGGCGCGCTGCTCCTGTTTGCAAAGGGCAGTTTCTTCTGCTGCTGCTGCTCCTGCTATTGGTGCAACCTGGGTCGGGCGCGTGTCGGGATCTCCTTGCCAGAGAATGACTTCAGCCGGCGGCCCGGCGCGATACCTATTTTACAGGAAAGCGGCCCGCCCTTTTTGCCAGAGGATGACGGCTAAGCCCTTCGACATCTAACAAAGGCGGGAGACGACAGCTGGCTCCCTAATCATCCTAGTGGATTTTGCGCGCTCTTTGATAGTGCTGCAGTCCACATGGCGAGATGGAAGACACCCTGACAGTAGATCAAAGTATATTCTGTCCCAAAGTAGCCATTCACCTTTCACAATGCATTAAGGCAGCTTTAATGGGGCTCTTCTTCAGACTAGATCTTCAAGAAGAAATCCACACACACACCCTGACATGTTGCTTATTCTTGTCTGGATATTTCTTCGTAGTGCCTAGCTACACATTTACACACAGTTCCTCCCACTAATAATAATAATATATTTATACCCCGCCCATCTGGCTGGGTTCCCCCAGCCACTGTAGGCGGCTTCCAACAAAACACTAAAATACAATAACCTATAAAACATTAAAAGCTTCCCTAAACAGGGCTGCCTTCAGATGTCTTCTAAAAGTTTGGTAGTTATTTTTCTCTTTGACATCTGGTGGGAGGGCGTTCCACAGGGCCGGTGCCACTACTGAGAAGGCCCTCTGTCTGGTTCCCTGTAACTTGGCTTCTCGTAGCGAGGGAACCGCCAGAAGGCCCTCGGTGCTGGACCTCAGTGTCCCGGTAGAACGATGGAGGTGGAGACACTTCTTCAGGTATACTGGACCGAGGCCATTTAGGGCTTTAAAGGTCAGCACCAACACTTTGAATCAACCGTTATCAGAGGCTGATAAGGGAGCAGATGAAATAGCAGTGGCATGATCTTCTTAGCTGAACGACTTCTTGCCCTTTGTCCAGTCAAAAGTACCTACAATTTGCCAATTTGCTTGCTTGGCATGGGGGAAAATGTATTTATTTATGTATTTTAATTGTTAGTTGAACTTTTATAATGACATTGTTAAATAAAAAAAAAACAGTCCCAAGGTGGCGTACAATGAAATACAATGCAATTCCACAACAGCAGAAACACGAAAAGCTAGTTAAAATAAACCATGAACATCCTGTACCCCAAAAGTTACCAAACTACAGTGTGCAATAATGAAAGCCATCAGCAGAAGGCAGGAATCTGCAGGTCTTCTGGGCTTTCCTAAACACATGAAGTGATGGGAGTCTGTTGGATTACAGCTTGCTTAGCATATCAGAGATGTGAGGCAGCATCCCAGAAATATGGGATCTCAGTATCTTTGTCTTTGCAGGGAGAAAAGTAGCTTGGGCAAGGTGATTTTGAGTGGGCAAATGGCAGGAAGGGAAAGGCCTGCATTTAAAAGCCTGCTTGTGCACTCTTCTGGTAAGAAAGCCTCTTAGCCTAACACACCCACTCCTTCTGATCACCAGCAACAAAGTATGATTATCACACTGGGAAGCAATAGCTTAAATAGGGTTCCCATATTTCCAAAGGCAAAAATCAGGACAAAGGTATTATTCCAAAGTTGTTGAGCTTTTTTGTGAAATCTCAAAAATCTATAATGAAGTTTTTGAGCTATTTTTAAGCAAATTAACAAAAAAAATATGCTACAGTCATGGCTTCCCATACATCCAAGTCCCTGTCATTGTCACTATCGTCTCACAGTTGCCTCCAAGAGCAGACATTTCAGCTATTTCCATCCAGACACAGTTTACGATGGCCAAATGGTGACCCTAAACTTACGTAATATTCAGGCCTCAGCTACCCACCTTCACTTCCCTGGTCTTTATTTCACACCTCCATCTTCAAGGGTTTTTGTTTTTTTGCCTCCATTTACTGTTCTTTCTTTCTGTATTGTTTTCATTTTTTAAAACAAAAAGCAATACATAATAACAACAATAAAGATCAAAGATCAAAGCAAGAAAGGAAGGGTGCGAGAAAGGAGGGAGTGGTGGTATTCCCAAAGCAGCATTATAGTTCAGAAAGTTTTCCTTCACAAACACAAATGTTTTCCCAAAGGAATCCATGACAATAGGGCAACTGCCAATCACGTTCCTTTACTTAAATGTATTTAATAAAGGGATGCTGAACTTTAGGGAACTCGTCCTTGTTTTTAGGATGGTGTAGGGTTCCGGTAAATGGACCATATCTGGAGTAACCAATAGGCTTGCATGTGATCCGTAGCTGACTTCGGCTGAGTTTACTGTTCTTTGTTCACATAGCAGAACCTCCAGCCAGCCAGAATCTGTTGTTTCCCAGACCAATAACAATGAGTCCACCTAAATCATAGGCCCCATCTATAAATACCAGTGCTGGATTTACGTATAAGCTAAACAAGCTATAGCTTAGGGCCCCACTCTCTTGGGGTCCCCCCCAAAAATAAAGAAAATAAAACCTGGATGTACATTTCCAAAATATAAGATAAAAAACAAATAAAATAAAACCTACATATAGCAACAGTGTTTTGTGTTGTGTAGGCTCCTAGTAATAGGCCCTGCCTGCTAGCCTGCTCCCTAAAATATCACTGCTTTGCTCATTTCTATATATATGGTGCCTACATTCTGCATGGACTAGTTGCATGGCAACGTGTAGCATGTAGCTGCAGACTGCTGTGCAGCACAGTTGAATGTAGGTCAAGCTGTTGTACCTGTTATCTAATATCAAAATACATATTTTGTTATGTGCAAATGGCTTAGATACCTACTAGGTCCATAAATTACCCTGTAGCATATATTCAACACAAAAACAGCAACAATTTGTTGTTGACAAAGGACAGCAGGACATATAAAGAGCCCCATTACCTTCAGTAGCTCAGGGCCTCATTAAACCTAAATCCGGCCCTGATAAATACTGTGATATTGGCTTTGAACAAAACACTTTATTACATATCTGACAGATAAACTGACAGCACAGACTTCTTGCACAACACTGATCCTTATGGGAGCATTTCTAAGACAACACACCAAGAAGAACCTTAGCTAAGCACTAGGAATATAGAACAGCACCACCTAGTGGCTGATGGGGGTTGCTTCTGCTCTTATTACTACAGTGGTACTTTGGGTTAAGAATTCATTCTGGAGGTCTGTTCTTAACCTGAAACCCGAGGTACCACTGTATACTAAAAGAGAGTGCCTTTCAGAACCTGTCATTAAGCAGCTACCAAGGTTACAACATGGTAACAGCAAAAGGTCTCCAACCTTGACATTTAACACTCTGACATCATTAAGATCACACAAATCTTTCCCAAAGCACACACATAAACAAATAAATAGCTATTCTCTGCACCTTGCAAGTGGATTCGTCTCAAGTTTTCTTGGAGGTGAATGTGCTAGGATTTTGGTTACATAGAGACAGGGCTGCTTGAAAATAGGGTTAAATATAGTTTCCACTTTCCAACTATTGCTAAAACCAAACATTTATCTTTCTGGTCCACATGTGAGTATTAACTTGTAGTTTTAGATGGTTTACTAAAAAGGTTAAAGGCACCAGTCTTTAAATGAAGTCATAGAGCCAATTCTCACTTCTTGTGCTTGGGTAAATTTTCCTTAGTACAAACTCTCTGTGTGGTCCATCAGATGTTAAAAGATGTATACAGTGGTACCTCAGGTTAAGTACTTATTTTGTTCCGGAGGTCCGTTCTTAACCTGAAACTGTTCTTAACCTGAAGCACCACTTTAGCTAATGGGGCCTCCTGCTGCCGCCGCACCGCCAGAGCACAATTTCTGTTTTCATCCTGAAGCAAAGTTCTTAACCCAAGGTACTATTTCTGGGTTAGTGGAGTCTGTAACCTGAAGCGTCTGTAACCTGAAGCGTATGTAACCCAAGGTACCACTGTACATGAAAGACCGGGTGTATTTTCTTTAAAAACTCTAAAATTGTCTGAGTTTTTTGTTCTGTTAAAAACAAAAATCCAGGATGTTGGTACCATAATATCTGGGTTTCTGAAAAAGCATAAATCTAGCATTGCATGCACACACTCTTTGCAATGTTTTCTACTCATGGATGCGTACCATCCCACCAAGCAAAGAGAATGAACTATTTAGTAGGTCAGCACATTCTCTTATTGTTACCATATCTTTCTAGGTCAATTCTATAAAAGTACCATTCTAGCCAACAAAAAGCATCCTAACTAATTTAAGGCTGCTTTATCTTCTTTTATATTTAATCTAATATCTAATTGCCTGAATGATCTCTAACATTAGGAATTACTGTCACTGATGCTGTTTCAAAGGGAAAGTGTATAAAATAAGGTGGTTGTTTTGCCAACAGAGGTATTAATGATATGATTAAAAGGAAGCAAGTATACTCTAAATTGAAATTAAAAAATACAGCTATCCATTGCTTACAGGAGACACACGTAAGAAAATGAAAGGACCATGTACTTTAAAATAGAATAGCTGGAACAGAATCCAAAGCCTATAGTACAAATGAAGAGACTTGTTTTTATATATTTGCAAAATAATGAATGGAAAGTAGAATACAGAAGGAAGATTTATGTTATATTGCCTATCCCTGGATCACTGGGTATGATCACTGCAGAATTTGTGCTCTGAATAATGAATAATGATCAAACTAAATTTTAAAAGTTTGCATTACATGAAAACCTATTAGCAGGAGATATGAAAGGCATTTTAAATCCTAAAGTAGACAGATCACAGAGCCTAGAGAAAGTCTGTAAGGAAACATAAACAAGCTGGGATCCTGGAAAAAAAAGCATGTATAAACATGAAAGATTGATTGCTAATAGATTCTTGGAGATACTTTAACACAGAAGAGAGCGATTATACATTGCACTCAGTATTACATGATTTGTATTCAAGAGCTGAGCTGATCTGGGTTACATCAGCAGTATTACCGATCAGTATTGAAACAGGTGCACATGCTGATCATAACTTTGTAGCAATGGAATTATATGGAGAAGGAGGGGGTTGCCAGTGGAAACTGAATATTTTTAATTAATGAACCCAGAAGTTATTCCTATAAATGAAACCATTTATAATGTACTCATTCTTATAAATGATTCTCAGGAGGTATCATAAGGTGTAGTTTCAGATACTAGCAAAACATTTATCAAGGGACAT